TCTCATCCTGCGCTGCAGCTTCTTCTCCTTGGTCAAGCCGAGAGCGGGAAATCGACGCTGCAGAAACAGTTCCAGCTCATGTATAAACCCACTTCGATGGATCAAGAACGCGCATCTTGGACAGCGGTCATCTACTTCAACGTCGTTCATTCATTAAAACACATCCTAGCTACGCTTGGACGACACTCTTGACGAAGACGCCGAGGCGCAACCTACATCGGCGGACGATTCACAGTCTATCATACCAAAGAAGGCTCGCGGGAACGGTATCGCAGATCAGCCGTCACCATCTACTTCTCTCTTGACCGGCAGCATCATCCAAGGATCACCAAGCTCCCTGATGCCGTCGGAGGCCGGCGGCTTCCACTCCCATTCGATGAAAGAGGGCGGCGCCCTTCAGATAGCCAACCTTCGACGCAGGTTGTCCCCACTGGTAGCTGCGGACGCACAGCTCGCGGAGAGACTCAGTGGTGGAATCTCGGTGTCTGGTTCTGGTGAGGGCGGCGTCTTTGTGCGGAGTGGTTGGCAGGCCCGTACCATCGAGAATGCTCTCGGAAGGATCAAACAAAAACGCCCTTCGGTCGAAAGCGAGAAGAAGACTCGTGAGATTGAAACCCAGGAACCGCAGGACCCTTTGGTTCAGGACGTTAGGCGAATGCTGGAGCATATCCGGGAGTTGTGGCATCATCCCACTGTTAAGGGGTTAATCGCCAAACGGAAACTGAAACTTGACGAGTGGTCCGAATTGTACGTCGCCTACCTTGGTCTCTCGTATTCTATTCTGATCTTGTTTCTCTAGTTTCCTGAAGAACATCACGCGTGTCGCATCGCCGGACTACGTCCCAAGCATAGGTAAAGTAGTTATTCTTGCTGTTTATCGCGCACATATTCACCTTATCCCACCAGACGACATCCTCCATACTCGTATCCAAACTATGGGAGTCGCTGAGCACATCTTTGATGTGAACATCCACGGGAAATCTGTGACCTGGCATCTATTTGACGTAGGTGGTGCTCAAGGACAGAGACACTCGTGGGTGCCATACTTCGATGATGCGAACGCTATCATTTTTGTTGCTCCCGTGAGTGCATTTGATCAGGCGAGTCTCTTTCTCTTCCCTTGGCGTTCGCGCCGTCCTCCATTTCTATCACTTTCTTTGAAACGTGGCAACCAAAAGCGTGCTTCTCTGTTTCGTTTTGTGGTTCCTTTCTCAACTCTCATTTTTCGGCCACGTTGCTGGTAACCATGCTAACAAATCCATTTAGTATCTCGAAGAAGACCCTCGGACGAACAAGATAGACGACTCGCTGCAATTATTCACGCAAATATGTTCGAACGCTGCTGAAAAACGTTCACTTGGTGAGTGCGTAGATGCGCTGGGGTTCTTTAATTGTTCCTTTGTGCTCAGACATCACGATTTTTTGCAGATAAGACGGATCTGCTGAAGGCGAAGCTCGACACCGGACTCAAGGTCCGGAAGTAGTGAGTCACCCCGTTTGCAACCAGGTTTTTATCACTCACCCCTCATCAGCATCACGTCCTTCGGCGATCGGTCCAACGATTACGAGACCGTCGTTCAATACTTCCGCGCTCACTTCCTGCAGGTTCATAGACGAAACAACGAGAATTGTCGGGTGCTGTATACTCATTTCACGAGTGTAGTGGTGAGTTGTCTTTCGGCGAAACCTAAAAAAACTTTTCCATATTTAACGTCTAGGACACAAAGGCGACGCAGCGTATCATTGGAAACGGTACGCTCCATTGCAGCGCCTTGGATTGTTTTGCTGACTGTCTTGTTTAGTTCGCGACTCAATCTTCCGAGGTTACCTCCAGTCTGCAGCCCTCGTTTGATCTGCTTTTGCTTCCTCTTGCTAGATCCCACTGCTCTCGTCGCATCTCCATTATTGATCGTTGTATTCACTCTGATATCCTGGCTACTATGCCCGTCGCATCAAGATTCGCATTGTCATCCTCAACATTCCCAACAATCCCGCCATATTATATCCCCTTGCAATGTCCCCCCTAATCCTTAATTCTTCTGAAACCTCTAACCCTACACACATTTATTGACCGCTACTCTTGCCGATTTTCCCCTCATGATCATGATCATGACCATGTACTCTCCTCCATACCTCATCTTCTGTTGTCCACATCCCCCAAGAAAATGTATAAACTGCACACGCTGTCCCTTCTCCGCGCTTAGATCCCGACTACGTTTTTATTGTCGTATTATACAATGCTGTATGTGTAATTAATTGGTGATGATAGTCCATTTTTTGCTTGCCCATCCATTGCAGACCGCGACCTATTGACTCCTAAGTATTTGGTGATTCTTTGCAAAAAAAAAGAGAGTCATCGGGGTTTTTGTCGTAGAAATGGAGATATGGTCTTGTTTCAGAGCTTGCTGATATCATATCCTATCAGGTTATTCTCTCTTCATTTCAATCATCGGAAATTGACAATCTATTTTTATGAGCAGATAATGATTGGCATGGCCCGGGTGAGGCGCAAAAGCACGGAGGTGTTTGAATAGCTAGGCATATTGAGGCATACAGACATCGGCAGCTTTGCGATTCCAACAGATTTACAACGGAAATGATAATTGGTAAAATGACCATGATGCACTTCAAGTTCGAATGGAACCCGATTACAATTTTTGAACTGCAGCTGCTGAGATAAAGTCAGCACACCGAGTTGAAAAAAACATGAATGAGTAGGTGCATACGTTCAAGAAGTTCCAAAGCCTTGGCCTTCTCTACAACTTGCATAAATTTGGCATACCCTTGCTCATCGAGTATATTGAGATCCCACCGATTTTTCCAAGGGGGTCCTAGGATTCAAAAAATATACCCGGGGTCGATTTTTTTTTAAAGTGCTTACTGGCAAGAGGCGTCAGATCCACCGATCTTGGACACCAACTTCAACCATGACAAAGCATGATCGGTGATTTCCAGAAAGCGGCATGGCAATGGCAAACGCTTCGCCCATCAAATCTGAATCAACTCCGCTGTACTTGCCAACGCCTTACATTACGCGGTGGATCACCTATGTCGAACGGTTATTTATCATGTAAGCCTGAAAATTTGTAGAATACAGTAGTGTCTATTAGCATATATGAACTTTATTCAAAGTTCTGCGCGAAAATGTTGTGCAATGTACAACTTCGCGAAACAGGACAGGTTGCATTATATACGACAGAGAACTTGTTGAAAGCAAATAGTTGTTGACATTGTGTAATTGAGGCATAAATGGGTGCAGGTGGGATCGGAAGACACCGAAGTAGCGGGATGGTACAGATATCATAAGGTATGCGCACACCAGCAAACCCCAATTTACACTTTTGACGATTTATATGCACCAGTATGTGCATTATTAGCTTGCCATGTTGAGAGGGATATGTCGGCGTGGACGCGTTTGTAGATAACACAGGTGACGTAGATGAGAAGAATGAAGGTTTTTCGCGGTAAACAAACTGAGCTGCCGACCATGCCGAAACATCTCATGTCGAGTTCCGACGACTGATCACAGCTGATCACCTGCTTACATGCCCTTCCCAATTTGGGGGTACTCCCCACCTACCCACCGTGGGAGCTGTGTACGCGATCGGTGGATCTGACGCCTCTTGCTTACTGGCTTGACCTACCTACCTACGTAATCAGGCACATGTCCATATATGGTAATATGACATCATCATTCTGATCAACTTTGTCCCAGATACGTTGCAAACCCAATTTTATGAAACTATTTCCTACCAAATGCAACGTACTATTATGTAGATGATACTGGATATAGGTGAGTGACTTGTAAATTTTATTATATGGAACATATTTCAATGTTGGAAAGTCTGGCTTATCCAAATTTTGAAATTGGTGCATTTGGTGTTCAAATTAGTATTAAGAACAAGTTTCTAAACAAGTAAGTGAGATTTAATGACTATACTTCTTTAATTGAGTTTTGTGACATTGACACTTGGCAGAGATTAGATAAGATTTAAAAAAATATGACATAATGCTTCAATATTGCAGTGTCAGAGAATTAAAAAATCTCAGATTTGGAAAAACTGGTTGGCTGGTGGCTGGTGGCTGGCCATCACCACATCACTGGTCACCAGTCACTGGTACCTGTCACCATCCAGTCACCATCCAATCAACATCCAACAACGCCGCCTCACTGAGATATGTTCAGTCTTGGGGTCTTCCGTGTCATTTTCAACCTCACCGCCGCCCACACCCCTGGCCCTGCAAGCTTATACGTCAACAGGATCATCTTCCGTCGCTCCAAGCACTTCCCATGGCAGGATCAAAACAAGCGTGTGGACACACCCAGCTGTGGGCATCGTTTGTGCTGCAAACACTGCATCGTTAACAGAGGTTGTACTTCCAAATGCACATACATGTACCACAGTACCTGCACCTGTACCTTCTGCTTCCTCCACCTCCACCTGTCAATTTTTTTGGCTGGAAGGTAAGCATGCATTCCTCAAGTATAACATGGTTCTAAATATGCCAAATGTGATGTTTAAAACAAGGCACCGCAGGTCTGGAAAAAAATGACTATTTTTAATTCAAAAAAAAACTCTTCAAAACTTGGTGTGATGCGTGACATCATGCCTACTTCCCTTCCTTCACAACCCTTTGTGATGTGTGATGTGAAGACATGGTCGTATTAGTACAGTATTTTTAATTCAAAAAAAAAACTCTTCAAAACTTTGTGTGATGCATAACATCATGCCTACTTCCCTTCCTTCACAACCCTTTGTGATGTGTGATGTGAAGACATGGTTGTATTAGTACAGTAATACCATACATCTTGGAGGGTGAACTCTCGAACAGTTGGCAAAATCAGACTTGCATTTGTTCAGTGGCTGCAAATCTTGTGTATGTGTTCACAAGATATTTTGGAGCTTTGGCATTGACAAAGAATATGGTTGCATCATTTTTCCAGCTATCGAGGTATTGATAGACCAGAATTCAAAATGCTCTGCTCAGTGGTTTTCTTTACTTGTGGAGCCTCAGGTAAGGTTGGTGAGAACTCCATGGCAGGATATTCAATTTACATCTGCACCATAGCATTTCTCATGATTCAAATCTTCAAAACCAACTCGATAAATTTGTTGAAGATAAAAACTATCATAAAATCCACCTCCAACCCAACAAATCTGACATGTCTGTCTCAACACTGAGGCATGAATCTACTGTCTCTGCCAAATTTGGTGGAGATCTTTGAATAATTGTTGACAAATTGTTGATCATACTTTTTATTCTTCTCCACATATTTTACAGAACATTTTTGCATGTGTATTTTTGGACACAGGTCAGCAATAAAATATGTGGAGAATAAAATACATATGACATATGGTGTGAAAACTAAACAGAAGCAAGAAAAAATTAGGTACAGTCATCCACCCTCATGTGATACACCACCCTTGAATGATACAGTTTCCAGTTCTTTCAGCTCTCCTGTAAGAACCACTGATCTGTTCACTCTGTAACTTTATATACAGTAACTAGAGGTCTGTTTCATGAAATGAATGTATATTTTATACATATAACTTCACACTAGCAACATAGAGTGATGATGAGCATCACTGCTCTGTACCTTTGTAAATCGCCAATATTACACTGTCGACATGCCATTGACGCACCCTTCACTCAAATGCTAAAATTCTGACATCATTCACACTGTCACTAATACTATTTCCAATGTCGCTGACACCGGTTCAGACCCCACGACTCGTGATCAGATGGATTCATGCCTATCACACCTTTTTTTGAATATTTCGCTGACAATTCCTTGATTTTTCTGTTTCTTTTGTCGCTGACACCTCATGACCACTCCTCTTTTGTATTTCTTTTCACCCAGTCCCCCAATGATTTCGATCTATTTCTGTTCAATTATTTTACACTATTTGTTTCATCTCTAGTATATTAACTCATGTACTTTGAGTTGAATACAGGTTTTTCCTCACCCTCAATATTGTTTCCTTTCGCTGAGAACTCGTCTCAGACTCGTCACCAATCGCCGTCCTCATTGTGCACACCGTGTTGCACTCTCGCATTTTATTTCCTCAATCTTGTTGCCAACTGTCACTGTCACTGTCACCATCTCTCAATTGTTTCACCATTTCAAATCACTGTTGACACTATCTCTCACATATATTTCCCCACCTTCACACATCTCATCACACATTGGGAACATCAGAAAGAGACCACTTTGTATCTTTCAGAGCCACTCACACACAACGCTGACCTATTTCGACCTACATTCTATCTACAGGTTGTTGGTTTGATTTGGGTTTCCCAGACTTACCACATTGTTAGGCACATCAGTGAGGTGACAAGTGACTGAATATAGCAAAAATCTGGTGTTTCAAAAATGTCGAGCTTGGTAGCTCGATCATAAGATGATCTTGCATCTCAGAACTTGTGCAAACCTCAAATATTTAATGTGATTGATGGTTGAAATGAGTAACTAATAAAAGATCCACAGCAGAGCGCAAAAATTGACTGCTTTTGCACATGCAAATGCAGCTGTCACATGTCTACTCTTCTCAGGCTCATCAAGATGTATTTAAAGTCATACCAATGAAAGAAAATGTAACGAAATTTCTGAGTTGTATCCCTATTCATCCAAATCATCCTTTCTAAATGCCTGGCCATGCCAAATCCAAGCTCAAGAAGAGCCTTATCACAAGACAATTTGATGTCACATGCCGTCAAAGCAGACAATCTTGAGTTGAAGAAACCCTATCCCCAATGGCGTGGTTTGCATAGGGTTTGTCTTGATTTTGAGAAATTGAATTTTGAGGTGACTGGGACCTACATAAAACTCAGCCATGCGACACTTCACAGACTTGTGGAGGGAGGGAAAACCGCTTCCGATGATACGCGTTGCACGGGGATGACCATGAAAGTGCGAAACACGCAAACAAGGATCAAGCGCGTCGGGAAAACCCTAAACACCTAAACACTCACACACACACACACACACACACTATCACAATCTCAGTGCGCGAGTTCGAGGGCCTTTGGTATTAAGAAATACCACTTTTGTCTTCTTAAGTTTAAGTCTCAAGAGATTTCGTCTCAAAACAGGTTTTTATTATAAGGTGTGGTTTAGAATAGTTCAATAGAACAAAGTATGTCTTTCTGGGAACTTGGTCTCTTAAATGCAAAGTTCTTTGATCACAGTTTCTTTTATTAACACAAAACACGACTTCAATTGACTTTTATGACTCCCGTGAGTTTTTATTATGTCACTACGCTCCAAACCAAGAGTACGAGTACGCTGTCTCGTCTAAATGATACTGTGTTTTTAAAACTTCTTATTCAAAAGTCTCCAAGTAAGTTGACTCCCAAGCACGCTGGCTTCGTTCACACTGTACTTTTCTGACCATGAAGAAATCTCCTTTAATTGATTACAACTGTCCACCTCCTAAGTTCCTACTTGGAGTGCAACTAGCTGGTCAACGGGGGGGCGATTTCTTCCTTTTGACCTGCCAGCGCGCTCCTTATATACTCCAGGAACCCCTATCTACGTTTTACATGTGTTTTAATGCGGGATACTTCGGTCCGAATTACAAATATGAAATTTAATGAACGTGTGGTATATTTTGTAGTCTATCTCTGTGAACACTACAGATTTTGTAGTGTCACGTCTTTCATTTTCAAACGCATCAGTGTTTGATGCGTACGTGGAGTTAGCTGACGTAGCTATTCTTAGCTTGGCATGATCTCGCGTGTTTCTTTCTATGGCCTGGTTTACCAGTTTGACAGATGACATCACAAAATGATTAATGTTTCCTGATGCGTTGATGCACATGCGTACACGTTTACCAATAGTCTTCGGCCTTCCGTCGCTTCCGAGTTTTTAATTAAAATGCCTTGTCTTGGCTCGTCTTTTCATTACGGAGGTCGGGAGACACTCCGAAAGTGTTTTCAAATGTCTTTCTTAATTGTCAGGGGGTTCTTATTATATTTCATATAATAGAATGTGTCTTTTTCTCATGTTTGTACTTGTGACGTTCAGACGCATCAGTCTTTGATGCGTACGCGGGAACTGCCGTACATGACTTTCTGAATGGCCGTGAGCCACACTAAGTCTTCGTACGTTTACTACCTAGGTGTAGTTTAGTCTTTCAATGTTTCAGACATGCCGTTTAAGCATCTATGTCGTCTTTTCTGTATTTCTTGTATAAGCACGAGTTTTCACAATAAACCCATTATGTGTTTCTAAACCCTTTGGTAGTAATGCAATTCTTCTCCCTGCGTTGGGTGTTTACTCTAGAACCTCTTCGTGCTCTATTTCATGGTAGGTGAATCTTAGATAGGATCCAAGTATAATGTCACGACACGTACTGCTGCCAGTTCCAAAGCCTTGTCCTATTTTCAGATTCCACACATTTGCATTTTTAGTCAACTGCGCCGGGTATGCGCATTGACTCTTTGTATCATTGCAATTGTATGTAGTGTATTTATTAGAGATGACCTTTATCGGTAAAATCGTTAAAATTGAATTTTATACGGGTGAAATGGTTTCATCTGTATCACTGAAGCCCAGGCAGATTGGGCGTGGCTCACTGATGCTGAGACCAATGTCGTCATCAATTTCATCATTGAGATGGCAGATCACAGTTTTCCTCTCAGCCACCGCCAGCTGAAGGAACATGTCAACATGCTCTGTCACAGTCGTTTGGGTGATGCCTTTCCAGAGAAGGGTGTTGGAATCAATTGGACCTACAAATTTGCTATGAAACATTGTGATTGTCTAAAACTGTTTGATTCCTGTCCTCTGGAAGACAAGCGTGGTTGTGCCGTGAATCCACACACCAACAAAGCCTGGTTTGATTTGCTTGAGGAGACAATCCACAAGTACAATATACAGCCAGAGGATACATACAGCACAGATGAGGTTGGCATTCAGTCATGTGGAACTGAGTGTGAGTGCATCTTCAGCACAAGGTGTCAAGGCGTGCAATATCAACAACGTGGGGGCACACACGAGAATACCACTGTGCTTGTCACCATATGTACTGATGGGACATCACTTCCTCCCTTGGTGATTTACAAAGGGTCAGCATTTCAAGTGAAGTGGGCACAGAACAACCCACTGAATGCATCATAAGTGTTATCATGTTTTTGTCACTTGATCTCGAGCTGATTTATTTACAAGACTTGGCTACCAGAAGAAGGGGTGGACAGATGGTGAGATCAAAGCAGAGTGGATTAAGATCTTCGACAAGCAAACTGAGAAAAAGTCTCTGGGTAAATATAGATTGCTCCTCATTGATGGCCACAACTCTCATTATACCATTGAATTCCTTCTCCATGCATGTCTCAACATGATCATTGTCCTCTGCTACCCTGCTCACAGTATTCATGTGTATCAAGGCTTAGATGTTGTCATTTATTCGGTGCTCAAACGATTCTTGGCCAAGGCACAAGATACATTACTACGAAATACTGGGGCTTCACTTGACAAAACAAACTTCCTCTAAATCTATGTGACTGCTCACACCCATGCCCTTACAAAGGAGAACATCCTCCAGGCCTTTGCTAAAACCAGTGCCTGGCCTTTTTGTCATGATGTTGTTACAGAGGTTATGATCGCGCCGAGCAAGGAAACATCGTGCAAGAGCCACCTCCCTGTTCCACCTGTGCCGACAGGTGCCATCAAGATTCTGACTGACATGTTCTGTAAGCTTCCAATGGTTGAGGATAACAAAATGGAACCTAGTGACAGACCTGAATTAACCTCCAACACATCAAAAACTTCCTCCACATCGAAGGTGTCAAAACTTGATGTGATCCTGGAAGCTGTTGAGAGTCTTTCCCAAACTGACATTGCACACATCTTCAACACAACACTCACCTTGTCCTCTGACCCCATGTCCCACACTACTACTCAAATCATCCCTTCCCAGTCCACACCAACACATCTCCTCTCCATCGAGCCCCAAACAGACAATGAGATCCTTCTCCTGGCGGCACTCCAGGAATCTGAGGCCTGCAATCAGATTCTCCTCAACTGTACGATTGAGTTGCAAGCGAGCAACATCCTAAACAAAGCCTACTGCAGCAAGCTCAAATGGCACCTTGCTCATCAGGAAAACAAGAAGAAGGATAAGGGGAAGGGGACATTGGTTGGGGATGGCTTACCATGTGTGCTCACTGGTGATGCCTTTTACAAAGCGGTTGTTGAGTTCAAGAAAGTGAAGGTTGCTGAGGAGAGGGATGCTGAGATGAAGAAGGATGTGAGGGCTGTCTATGCTGCCACCTTGAAGGAGTGGCAGGAGGGGGAAGCTGCACGAAAAGCTGAGAAGGAAGAGATGTTGATGGAGTACAGGCATGCCGTCACCTACTGGGAAAATGTGAAGAAAAGATCAGCGAGGAAGAAGAAACATTTTAACCTACTTAAACCAAAAATGCCTATATTTGACAAGGCCGTGCATCGTCCGCACATGAAAGACTTCATGGCTGGGGGTGGTGGGAAGGAGAATGAGCAGGAGGATGAGTCAAGTGGCGGTGACAGTGAGAATGAGTGAAATCTTATCATGGTCTGATTGCCGGTGCTGTCAGGTGTATCATGCAACCATAATCACTGTTTTACCCCCATCTGGACATTTTCTCTCATCCCTCACACTGCATCCATTGTATTGCCTGTATATTTTTATAGGATGTCGTCTACAGTCTTACATTTCATCTTATGTTCATTATTTACTTGGAAATGACCTTAAAACTTTTCAGTTCTCATTTTGGATTTTGACTGTATCAGAAGCAGGTGGATCACTGTACTTACTCTGGAAAGCCATGAGCGTAGACAAACTCTCCTTTCTCAGAAAGCTGCAGAAAGGTGTTATGAGATTTCCCTCAGGAAAGATGGGTAAACACAGTTAGCATGCAAGGAGAGACACAAGCTCTCCACTTGTACACCTGTGATTGAGTCATGAAGATGATGCTCAAGTGCACAAGTCAAAATAGAGATGATGGTAAAGTTAGATGATTATTTGGTGTGTGATGAGAGGAATTGTACTAAGATGTGACTACTATGACTGTGTGACTACAGGTCTACCTTGTGCAGGATGCAGCGAATGGATAAGGAGTCATTGGGTTGGGAATATCCTATAAGGGAATGGAATGATAGGACTACATGAGATCTTGCTATTATGTCCCTTCACAGAGCCCCCCTATTCCTGATCCAATGAGGCTGATACTCTTCCAGCACTTTGATATCGGTGATTCAATGTTTATGCCAGTCCACCACTAGGCTGACACTCAAGGGACCTCAAGGGGATTTTGGGGAGCATGTCGAGGATTAAGGAGCTCCTCAAGTATGTGGGGAGGACTGAGAGACTCAAGGCGTCATTAGGTGACACAATAGGTGACGTGTCCAATCTGGAATCTGAGGAAGCCTGACAGATAGCACTTCATTTACAGGCGAGCTCAGTCAAGGAGCAAGGACTTCAGAAGCACAGTTGACGGGTTCGCCCTCAAAAAACCCCACCTTTTCTATACCCGCATCTCAGCTTGCGGACATCAAGCAAAAACCATATTTCGCTAGGAAAACACGCTACACAGACACTCAAGCAAACAGCAACACAACTCAAAACAATTTCATTTCCTGAGTCCCATTAAGCTGTACCTATTGCATTGTGATCGGGTACTTGGAAGAAGAAATGTGCTACAGACAGACAGCATCAATAAGCAGAGAGATGAGACTACCCCACTTACCATAGAGACAGGTTCCCAAACGGCGTTTCCATGCCAGGCTGTGTGGGGGATTGGTCGCCATGGGCATGCCTTCACCAGTGCAGGGGACAGTCACAGGGGTCAGGAATAAGGCATTAGGGGCCTTAGGTAGTCTACAAGTTGTAAAGTCTGACATGGGGCTCTGCCCCAATAGACTATAATTTGACACAAAAAAAAAAAAAAAATGCCAGTCCACAGGAAAGCCATCCAAGAGTTTGTTGTGGAGCTTGTCTAACATAGCTGGAACCAGTTGATTGAGCCATTCCTTCGAGCCCCTGCGGCTATGATTCAGTTGACGGAAATATTCATTCCACATTCTGGGAGTCTTAAACTTCATTGACCCTTGGAGGATGTCTTTCGTAAGGTTGTTGAACATGTCTTCCATGTGTGAGTCCCATTCTCCTGTCCAGAAGAAGCAGCCTTCATCTAAAATGTCTCTTGAAGGATACAAGGAAGGGTCCTTGTTGCTGTCACTGTGAATGCAGCCGAATAGAACGTCGATTTCATGAGAGCTCATTTCATCCATGTAAAGGAACATGGGGTGTTCATTGTCCAAATTGATATAGCCATGTCGGTGTAAGTAAACGTCTGGTGAGGGTCCCTCCATAAATTGGGCGACAAGTTCCAAACCACCCCACTTGCGACCAAGCCATGCTTCTGGACTGCCTAAACCGATGAGGATCCTGGTGTGCAGCTGCCAAATGATGTTGTTGACTTGACTCATATAGTAGGCCCTTAGAGCACCTGGAGCAGTGTATACAAATGGTGACTCCATGATACAAGTAGGTTTCCCCACTACCCAATCCATATCTGAGACTTCCTCTGGCTTGAACTTCCCAAAGTCCTTGACTTTGATGCTGATGGTAAAGGCAATCCCCTGCATGATAGCCTTGAATAGGATCTTGGTCATCATGGATGTGTCTCTCAAACATGCAGACCAATAACGCAGATGGGCTTGAGCTCTCCTGTCCGGTACTAGTAAGTATCCCACTTTGATGTAGTCCATGTCCCATGCTAAAGGTTTCTTGCTGGTCCAGGGGCTGGCAACTGGCTCCCCAAGTCATGCAGTTGGTCAATGTATACCGCTCATCCTTCTGGCAACTGTGCTCCTGATCCTGCTTGGCTATGGTTGGGAAGAACACATATCGTAACTGGAATCACACAAAAATTTGACACACTTCGGTTCTTCAAAATCCTCAATATTCCTGAGTGGTACCTACCATTTAAATCATATAAAATAGGCAACTGTCAGCACAGTCATTTATTTGCAGCCAAGGTTTTTTATGATATGAAATGCTCAGGCAAATTTTATGAAATCATTTCAATTTCAATTTCCTAGCCTATGTCATTTATCCCAGCTGCCTGTCAATCATCACAGGCTTGATTTGATTTCAATTTCATTGCAGTGGTGTGCTTAAAGAATGGACCATGGGTCATTTTCTGGTTCTTTGCGAGAATATATTGTGGTCCAAATATAGTTATGTATTCTTTCACATTATGTAGTTGTGTTACACTACCCTTGGTATGAACTAATTTGGGTGAAAGTTGGGGCCTTGAGGAGGTTTTTGTTCTGATGGCCATTTTCAGCACCTGAAAAAAAATTTATATGCTAACTGGAAAGGAGGCCAAAAGATACCTCTGGTTAGCCTGAATGAGCCCATCAAAGAATCAGTTGAAAATACTGAGCAGTTATGCCTTTAGAGGAGGTCTTATCAGTGCCCCCCTAATTCCTGCAGGAATCCGGTCATTCCTGCAGATTCCGGTGGATTCCAGAGGAATGAAATTTGGCAGGGAGGCCTGCTATTTTCATCATTCTGGTGCCTTACCATTCCAGGGGAATTTGGGCATTCCGGAATTGACACTGGAATGTTCCACAGGATTGACAGGAACGGAATGCAATGGAATCCATTCATTTGTTTGTTTATTTTACTTCTGTTACCAAACAAAGGCAACACTACCAAACAAATGCAACACTCTTTCCTTTCCACCCACCAACCATCCTCTTCCCCACCTCCATTCCCTCCCACCAACCACATTGACAACGGCGACAACCACAATGATGCAACATGACCCAACAACGGCCATGACACACCACCAACGAATGGTAACGACCACTGCCAGCGACATGGCACCACCACCATCCTCAAACACCCACCACCACAATGACATGGCACCACCAGAGCACCACCATCAACCAATGGCGACCAGCGCCCACCACGATTCATGACCGCCCACCATGACGACCACCCGAATGCAGCAACAAAGGTCAGACGACGTGTATTTGCGTCATCTGACAGTGACGATTGGTATGTCATCACCATCGGGTTGTTTTGAGCCACCCAAGTGAGTAACAGGTCCCTCCACCCCCCACTGCTCACTATTCAGGTGCCCTGTTGACGTGGCAAACCCCCTCACCCCCCACTCCTCGCTTTGCAGCTGCCACTACCTCTGGAAACTCCCCAGTGCCCATGAAAACGCCCTAGTGGCCACGAAAACCACACCCCGCCCACGAAAACACCCCAGCGCCCATGGAACAACACCCAGTGCCCACACATGAGGTCAATGACATGCAACACCCAGCGCCCATGTACAACATGCGACGACGACAATGCAACAACGACACACAACAATGACAACACAATGATGACACGAGGACAATGACATGCGACACACTCTCCCCATCACTCCCTCTGTGTCTCTACCCCCTTCTCTTGTCCCCACCCCTTTCCTTCTCCATTGCCATGTCCCTTGCCTCTTCATTGTCCCTACCCCCCTCCTTGTCCCTACCCCCTGCTTTAATATAGATTGTATGTAGTAAAATACATTTCATGTCCTTATTAAATACATTATAATTTGACCTATGAATCTATTGCTTGAGATATGGGTTCTATAAGGGATTTTGAGTACTAAGTTATCAGGATAAGGTTGGAGTTGGACAAATACAGATGTAGTCACATGATGAAAAGCTGATCAGTAAATTTACATGGTTTTTCAACCTTACTCTGCTTCATTCCAGTCCTATTCCAGTGGAATTCCTGTGGATTCCTGTGGATTCTGGTCCCATTCCTGTGGAATCCTGCAGATTCCTGCAGGAATGGGAGGGGCACTATAAAGTACTGGTTTATACTGACATACTGGTTGTGTACGAACACTTGTGTGTGTTTCTAGAGTGGTGGCCTGTGAGTAGGCCTTGAGCAGGACTTGAGCTTGATCATTGCACCTTTGTATTGAAGTTTTATGTTTGTGGTGAGCCCTGTGATGTTTGCTTGTGTCTGCCGTTGAGATTTCAACCTCTACTTTGGCACCATGCAGCTGTTTGAGAAGGTTCTCTGCAAAACAGCTCTCCCTCAATCCAACCTCCATGCAAGCTCTCCAAGTAAGCCCACAAACCACCTTGTTCATCTCCAACCAACTTAACCATACATACCAATCCAGTCCAGCCTCTTTGACATGCACAATAACCTAAGCCCAATGAGCCCATTATCTGTGACCCATCATCTCACCCATCACCAGTCACCAATCACCCACCTAGGTTCTCAAATAGAGCAAATTCGAAGAACACGGCCATATTACACTTGGTGTGTGCGTGATCATCTACATCTGAGTCATTTACTCATGAGCAATAGATAAGTTGCTGCAGGTGACTTTCTGGTGTGCAAGTTCCCCATGTGGACATGGTAAGCCATTCCTCCATTCCCCCCTCTTGTCTTGTCATGAAAAACTGACTGGGGCTACTCATGAACAGGGAAAAGGAGACGCCTCCGAATCCTGCAACTTCCTCCCACTGGAAAAACAATACCTAGTAATGTGTGGCATCCTCTGCCTCTGGTGTGCCACCTCCCTAGCCTACACAGATGCAGACAAGGACGCCGAGTGCCTCCTTTCTTCACTGTCTCTTCTCCACCCTCCACAGATGGTGACCAGAGGGTTGAGACACACGCAGGTTGGCAAGCACAAATCGAATGGACTCTGATGAACATGGGTGAGATTGCGGATATCCCTCATCTGGATGGGGATGGGTTGCATGAAGATGAGGAGAGGATTGTAAGGGAGTTGGGGGGCATGTCGTCAGGTGCCGGGGGTGAGGGTGTTGGGGTAGAGATGTCTTATTTGGATGATATCCCTGATATGGAGGAGGATGACTTGGAGGAGGGGGATGATGAGGCTATGGCTGCTGCACCCAAAGTCTCAGTTATACCCGCTGCTGCTGGGGTTGTTGATGCTGGGTATGTTTGTTGTTGAAATGAAGAAGAGTGGCTGACAATATCTTTATAGTGCCAATGTAGAAGTCACAAAGGGCAATTTGCTTCAGGTCCGCATGTATGATGTAATGATCACATACAACAAGTATTATCACACCCCACATGTTTGGCTGATCAGCTACAACGGGGTTCGCCTTTACCCTTTTCCCCAACACTAGCCAACTGAAATGACAGAACCGCACCCCACTAACCCCCTCCCAAATCTTCCAAGACATCTCAGCAGACCACACTCAGAAAACAGTAACAATCGAACCCTTCATCCACTCTGCCTCTCTCCAAGCCGCCTCCATGCATCCATGCAAACACGCCAGTGTCATGAAAAAGTAATAGAACAGATGAACAACAGTGTCAGAAACAGCTTGCACAGTGTGGTAAACCTTCTTCAATGGGCAAGGACACTCCTAAGAAAGAGAAGAAAAAGCTGTTCAGCTGAAAGTTGTCTGGGAGTGCCAAGGACATTCAACAGCTGCAAGCTGGGGCTGACGACCTGGAAGAGGAGGTGGAGGGGATGAGGGTTAATTTTTATTTGGTTATTTTCCTCAAGTTTATTGCGAGCATTGTGCCAACTATTGAGGTTGACTCGACTACGTCTTTTTGAGCACAGTTCCTCCCTCATTGCTAGCTGTCGTTTCTTTTATCCTGTATTTTTCTTATCACTGTTGGTACTTAGACTTCCTCTTTCTGTGTGAATATGTTGCAATTTGGAATATGTATCTGTATCTTTCATGTTTTTCTGACAGAGTTCCAAGAATGCATAAATCATATGTATTGAGATGTGATGCAAAGAAGATTTGTATCCAACAACATCTAACCTGGTCTGACCTCCTCTGTACACATGGCCCTCCAACAAGCAAAATAAAATCTTTAAACTCCTGTATGCATCCACTGCAAAGACAACTCTGAGGCACTGGTGGAAGCATGGAAACAGGAAGAGCTGATAAATTTTACCATCCTTGACTTTCTCTTGTTCAAATGACACAATCTGTTTTTTTTTAGAACAGTAAGGCAGGGTGCATCATAATGGTGGTAACTGGTAACTAGAGACATGTGCTGCATTTATGAAATTCTGGGAAGATGGTGTGAAACTTTTATAAAGCTAAAATCAAATAAATGAGAGAAAGACATTGGAAAACTTGGAAGATTAAAAACTCACGAAGACGATTTTCTAGAGCAATCTTTACAAATGCATATTTTTGATCATTGGTTTCCAAATGAGAGGCTTCCTTAATGGCAGTTTTAATTTTTGCCAAGTCAGCAGACAAGTTGAACTTTTCAATGGCTAATTTGAAGGGGGCAGAAGACTCTGAAGGATTCTGTTTCCACAGAAAATATGAGTGCTCTGCAACGATAGCTGTCACTGAGCAGTAAAATAGTAGTTATGATAGAGTGGTCATAAATGAGAGTAGACACACCAATACATAGAAAGGCAATATCTTCAAAAGTTTTGGCATTGTGAATCTACATAGAATTATGTTGAGGTCAGAATAAGATTTACACAATGAAGGTTTACCAATGACAAGTCGGTATCATTGAGGACATCCATCACCTAGAAATAGTAGTTGGTTCAGTCAATACTAGTTTTGAAAAAAAAAAAAAAAAGATGGGAAGAATAAAATACTTACAGGCTATTTGAAGAGGTACAGCTTCATAAATATCTTGCTAAAAATTCTACAACTGAACTCACAATCTCATCATTTCTTAGCAAAATGAAAAGAGAAGAAGGCTGAGCCCTACCCTCTATTTGAAACACAGGCCATGCTCTTATCAGCCATAAGTAGAGAAGAACAGTCAAATCCTGACTTACTTGCTGTTTAAAACCCAGAGCATGCTCCAATCAGCAACAAGCAGGAAGGGCCAGCCAGATCCTGACTTACAAGCTGTTTAAAACCCAGAGCATGCTCTTGTCAGCAACAAGGAGGAAGGGTCAGTGACATCCTGACTCACCCACTGTTCAAAACCCAGAGCATGGTCTTGTCAGCAACAAGCAGGAGGAGCCAGCCAGATCCTGACTTACATCCTGTTCAAAACCAAGAGAATGCTCTTGTCAGCAACAAGCAGGAAGGGCCAGCCAGATCCTGACTTACATCCTGTTCAAAACCCAGAGAATGCTCTTGTCAGCAACAAGGAGGAAGGGTCAGTGAGATCCTGACTCACCCACTGTTCAAAACCCAGAGAATGCTCCTGTCAGCAACAAGCAGGAGGAGCCAGCCAGATCCTAACTTACATCCTATTCAAAACCAAGAGAATGCTCTTGTCAGCAACAAGCAGGAAGGGCCAGCCAGATCCTGACTTACATCCTGTTCAAAACCCAGAGAATGCTCTTGTCAGCAACAAGGAGGAAGGGTCAGTGAGATCCTGACTCACCCACTGTTCAAAACCCAGAGAATGCTCCTGTCAGCAACAAGCAGGAGGAGCCAGCCAGATCCTGACTTACAACCTGTTCAAAACCCAGAGCATGCTCCTGTCAGCAACAAGCAGGAAGGGTCAGCCAGATCCTGACTTACATTCTGTTCAAAACCCAGAGCATGCTCTTGTCAGCAACAAGCAGGAAGGGCCAGCCAGATCCTGACTCACAACTGTTCAAAACCCAGAGCATGGTCTTGTCAGCAACAAGCAGAAGGAGCCAGCCAGATCCTAACTTACAACCTGTTCAAAACCAAGAGAATGCTCCTGTCAGCAACAAGCAGGAAGGGCCAGCCAGATCCTGACTTACATCCTGTTCAAAACCCAGAGAATGCCCTTGTCAGCAACAAGGAGGAAGGGTCAGTGAGATCCTGACTCACCCACTGTTCAAAACCCAGAGCATGCTCCTGTCAGCAACAAGCAGGAGGAGCCAGCCAGATCCTGACTTACATCCTATTCAAAACCAAGAGCATGCTCTTGTCAGCAACAAGCAGGAAGGGCCAGCCAGATCCTGACTTACATCCTGTTCAAAACCCAGAGAATGCTCTTGTCAGCAACAAGCAGGAAGGAGCCAGCCAGATCCTGACTGCACCCACTGTTCAAAACCCAGAGCATGCTCCTGTCAGCAACAAGCAGGAGGGCCAGCCAGATCCTGACTTACAACCTGTTCAAAACCCAGAGCATGCTCTTGTCAGCAACAAGCAGGAAGGGCCAGCCAGATCCTGACTTACAAGCTGTTCAAAACCCAGAGAATGCTCCTGTCAGCAACAAGCAGAAGGAGCCAGCCAGATCCTGACTTACAACCTGTTCAAAACCCAGTGCATGCTCCTGTCAGCAACAAGCAGGAAGAGCCAGCCAGATCCTGACTTACAAGCTGTTTACAACCCAGAGCACACCCTTGTCAGCAACAAGGAGGAAGGGTCAGTGAGATCCTGACTCACCCACTGTTCAAAACCCAGAGCATGGTCTTGTCAGCAACAAGCAGGAGGAGCCAGCCAGATCCTAACTTACATCCTATTCAAAACCAAGAGAATGCTCTTGTCAGCAACAAGCAGGAAGGGCCAGCCAGATCCTGACTTACATCCTGTTCAAAACCCAGAGAATGCTCTTGTCAGCAACAAGCAGGAAGGAGCCAGCCAGATCCTGACTTACACACTGTTCAAAACCCAGAGAATGCTCCTGTCAGCAACAAGCAGGAGGAGCCAGCCAGATCCTGACTTACAACCTGTTCAAAACCCAGAGCATGCTCCTGTCAGCAACAAGCAGGAAGGGCCAGCCAGATCCTGACTTACATTCTGTTCAAAACCCAGAGCATGCTCTTGTCAGCAACAAGCAGGAAGGGCCAGCCAGATCCTGACTTACAAGCTGTTCAAAACCCAGAGAATGCTCCTGTCAGCAACAAGCAGAAGGAGCCAGCCAGATCCTGACTTACAATCTGTTCAAAACCCAGAGCATGCTCCTGTCAGCAACAAGCAGGAAGGACCAGCCAGATCCTGACTTACATTCTGTTCAAAACCCAGAGCATGCTCTTGTCAGCAACAAGCAAGAAGGGCTAGCCAGATCCTGACTTACAGCCTGTTCAAAACCCAGAGAATGCTCCTGTCAGCAACAAGCAGGAGGAGCCAGCCAGATCCTGACTTACAACCTGTTCAAAACCCAGAGCATGCTCCTGTCAGCAACAAGCAAGAAGGGCCAGCCAGATCCTGACTTACAGCCTGTTCAAAACCCAGAGCATGCTCTTGTCAGCAACAAACAGGAAGGGCCAGCCAGATCCTGACTTACATTCTGTTCAAAACCCAAGGCATGCTCTGGTCAGCAACAAACAGGAAGGGCCAGCCAGATCCTGACTTACATTCTGTTCAAAACCCAAGGCATGCTCCAGTCAGCAACAAGCAAGAAGGGCCAGCTAAATCCTGACTTACCCACTGTTCATCACCCAGCACATGGTCCCATTAGCATATTATTGAGACTTTATTGAGACTAACTGGATGTTGGCTTACCTCCTGTTTAAATATGTTATTTTGTTCTCATGTATGGTTAAGTAAAGTTCACATACTATATGTGGAAAAAAATGCAATATTTCCTCAACCATCTCCCTCCACTCTCTCTTTCTTTTGAATAATTTCCAACCTGGAAACATAACTCTATTATTCTAGGTAATTAGCAATTTAGCTGCATATAATTAAATGTGAAACAACTACCTTAGAATTGCATATTCAATTGACATAGCCACATTATTCTGTTGCACAGTGAGAAACAGCTGTAAGAGTGTATCATCTGAAAAGGTAGCAGCTGTCTTCCTCAGCAGTTCACTGCAGTCACTTGTAGGATTTTGCATGTCTGCAAAATGCAATTAATCCATTGTCTACAAGTAAATGAGTTTGTTATACCTCGAAAATACACATGATCCTTGGGAGGATACTTTTTCTTGTAGAGTTGCTGACCAAATTTCTCTTCAAACCTGGCAACTGACTCTTCTGGAGCTTTATTTGCAGCATCTTCAACATCCATTCCACTATCAACCAGGTGCTTGATGGTCTGGGCATCAAGCATATCTGATTTTGTAAACAGGACAATAACAGGAACTGCACACAACAAGGAAGGGTGAAATTCAAGAGATTATCAATAATTTACACACCTCTACCAGTCCCACACTCATCAAAGAAATTTAACTCCGCTCTTGTAAATGGTCTGGCTTCATCATTAATTGGGATGCAGTACCTACACAGGATGTATTCAGATGCACTTTGATGTTACCACTCAATCACATACCAAATTACATGCAGATGATCTGCAAGGTCTTTGTTGGTTGAACATTTTTGTATAAAGTCCTTAACTTTATCCAGCTCAGATGTTCTGCCTGCTTCAAAGCCACGTGAGTCATGGAAGACAAACACCATATTACTCTTGAATATCATTTCGTTCTCAATATCATGCTCCCCTCTCTGCCACACCTTCAGTAGGTGTGAAAAGGAGTGCAGATCCACTTACCTGTCCAGTTGGATTGAGCTTGGACAAGTCAAGCTATCCATGTCAATAATGATTGACGATGATGTCTAGAGCATGGAATACCTCATGACCATCCCGAGTGAAAATTTTCGGCTGTTCTGTTGTATTGCAAACTCGCTGGAGGATGGTTGTCTTCCCTGCATTGGCGCGGCCAATGATGAGGACGCGAAAACGCTTGATCTTGTATCGAAGATTCTCTGCTCGTGTCCGTTGTCTTGCTATATCCTCTGCTCCTGAGGATTCAACATTGGAAAGAGACATTGTCGCTGGGATGAAACGGTGGAAGTGGTGAAGAATCAAGATAAGCGCCGCAGTGGGTAGTGTATTGTTTGGTTATGCTAGGTCAGCCATAGGAGTGATGTCACTGACTCGCTTTTCGTTCTTCCCATTGAGCGTTTCAAAATGTTCACGACGATCGTGAAAGCGCGCAAGTTTGTCGCCAAATCTGACCATCAACCAAACGCCGAGGGAGAGGTTGAGTGCAAACTCCAGGTTAACTTTCTTTGAAGTCTTGTTACAGTCCAGGTGAATGCCTCTTCGAGCAATCTTCGAGTCGCCATGATATAAGCTCCAGCACGAGTTCGCCATTTAGCACAAACAATCTCCTCGGCAGCGGCCTTCTTTGCGCAACGCCATTCCCCTTCATTGACCACGTAGAGGACTCTTAAACTACGGTAACTGAAGACCTCAAAGGTTGAAGAAGTGGCTGAAAAATGAGCAGTATGAGACTGAATCCTACTTGGTACGATTAGTTACAATTCTATCGTGATGTGCCATCCCATCTTGCCAATGAAGACCCCGTCTCAGCCAAGAATCGCCACAGCCCTTCCTCTCACTGTTCTCCCCCATCTTCCCTTCTCGGACCCCCTACTCATTTGTCCATGAATCACGATGTCCCTGTACGTTTCCGCGTTCATGCGTTGCCTGAAGACGTACCTTCGATCTTGAGTATACTCCGCACCATCGGGGGATAAGGCTAAATCAAAGACTGTAAGAACGTGCATCCGCATCGAATGACACAACTCACGTTGTCCGTACCGAATATGTTCGCCCTTTTTTTCAGTGCTGTCACAGCTAGCCAGTCGTTCTATCGTCCGACAGAAAGCTAGCCCCAGAGAAATATCAGGACTACGCCGCACAACCCCAAGAAGTGAGTATATACTTGCCTTTCCTTCCCAATTCCCTTTAGATAGATGGGGTTGCTACCACTTGGGCCAGCAAATCTTCAACGAGACTTTGTTAGTGTACGGTTCACAACTTTGCACTGGCGCGTTTCGAGCATCCATTGTATTAACGGTCGAAGAGCGTTCGCACCGTTGAAGAGCGATGCCGCAAGAATACCTCTGCAAAGCAAACTCGAACGGACGTCAATCGACTATTCCTGGGTCTTGGGGAGTCGGAGTGGTTCCGTTCGGCGAAACGGTAAAAGCTGTATAAATCGGGTCGTCGTTTGCCTGCGTTCTGGAATAGGAATCAGTAATTACGTGAGTTGCAACATAGATAGCCGCAAAAGAGAATGACTACCATTCACAATGACCTTGCAATTTCAGTTTGAGCGGAAAAGTATGTGATTACACATGACCTTCCTGTCAGTCAGAGTGGCGGCGGTTATAGGGCCAATCTGTGCAGGAGTGGTTTGGGGAAATGCGACATAGGCATAGACAAGTACCACTTGCGATTCCGATTCTTCAATCCAATCCAAGTCCTAAATGCGAAAGTTTTGTGGTTCCAGTTTGCCGTCCTTCCAACCAGTCTCGAACAAGGTTTTGTAGCTGGTGGGGTGGTTGCATCAAAACAGACGTTCCATTTTAGTTTCCCGTTGCCCTAATAGGAAAGCCAAGATAAGTATGCATAGTTCGTGCATCACACTCGACCCACTTAACCGCACAGACCAGGTTCTTCCGTTCCGCGCTAAACAGCACTGCCCGTCTCCGTAATTCTGGCCACTGGTTTGAAGCTGGCGGTGAGAAACCCTCGAATAAAAGTGGGTCGGTCAGTCCGTCTTGAACAGTGAGTAGCGCTTTCCTGGCAGCCTGAAAGGTAACTGATTGATAAATCAGATGTGAAGACCTCCCGTCGATGAGAGCTTACCATCTCAGCACGTTGAACTGTCCGGACCATTGGGCGTCGTGACCGTCATGGTAATCTTGAGTCTGTTGTTGGTAAGCATACAGACAAGTGAGAAAAGATATAACAGACCCACCTCGACTTAAAACGTCGATGTCCTGCTTGTAAAAGTACGATCTATGACGGCAATGAAATGAACGAGTTTGCCCCCTCTTATTGGACACGTCATTTTGGTGAAACACTTCAAAAGGGCGTAGGCCCTTACATACGACGATTCCGCAATCTGAGCCGATCATGGGCGTCGAGTTGTACATCCCTTCTGGGTTGAAATTTTGTCGCGACTGATTATCAGAGAGTGTGTGAGACTGAGAGTTTATATCTAAAATGATTAGCTTCGTACGAGGTAAAAAGCTCGAGAAGAACTCACAAGCAGTGCGCGCAGAGTGAAGGTACTAGTTTGTATGAGCGCCAGGCTGGCAGTGCCTAACACGTCACAAGTTGCAGCCACGGCTTATGGGAAGGGAAAGCCTGCTTCCTTCGCGTATAGTATCGATTCTACACTGGGCAGAAACCTACTATTCCCAATGTGTCTTGGAATACAGGAAGGGTGCTCGGTTTTGACCTAAGGCTGGGCCCCCACAAACATTGTCACTCTGGAGAAGATGACACCGAAGAGTGCTTTGCT